ATTTCTATAGTAATCACTTCTTTGCACTTAAAAATTGTTTTTTCATTCAAATGTGCATCCCTAGTCTATACTTCCGAAAGTGTGATATGCCTTTTAATCTACAGATTCTCCCTCCGTTCTTTTCCTTACAATGTATCTGCTGAAGAAACCAGGTTGTAGAGTCTCTCTTGGTCTGGATTTTGCTGACTGCATATTCATGATGCAGTTCAAAAGTGTTCCTCGGTCCTTGGTATTTCCTGCAAGCCAGCAACTGGATCCAGGGGCTTGGTAAGATTCTGCTTCAGTTGCTGTGACAAGACTACAGGTGGTGTGTGGTTTCTTCAGGAGGACCGAAGTGTCTAGAGCTATTTCTCCTTTTTTGATTTCAACCGCCATTGACATGCAGTGCCTAGATCCATTAATTCACTGGGGGCTGCCAAATAATTCTTTATCATTTCTTGGTTGTCATACTTTTTTAAAAAGTTTTTTCCCCTCATCTCTTATTTGGTTAGCCAGTGGTACAACCCATATGATTCAGTCATAGGCTTGATTCCTTCCCTCTATTTGCCAGTTTTCCAGATAATGAGATGGTTCCCTATTATCCTTCTAAAGTGACCAGATTTTAAACAAAAATCATCATATGCTCATGGATTTAAACATATTTGATGAGTCCCATTCCACTGCAATTATCATTCTTATACATTGTCCTACCTTTGTCTGGTGGGAGCCAGCATCACAGGAGAATATGATACTGTACATCACCAGCCCAGGAAAAGATCAAAATTCAAAATTTAAAGTATCGTTTCTATTGAATGCATATTGCTTTCACATCACAGTAAAGTAAAAAAATCATAACTTGAACCACTGTAAGTTCGGGACCATCTGTATTCCATTTTCCCCCCCAACATAGTGTCGCATCCAAAAAGTCTGAGAATATTTTCTTTCCCCTGAGAGTCACTTTCTCTTTTTGTTTAGATGTCTAAAGGATGTTTTTCCTTCAAAGTCCAGTTAACTTACTGTGTTGTATTATTTTGGGTCATCGTTCTCAGGAATGTGGGGTATTCTTTCAATATGTAGTTTTAAATCTCAGAAAAGTTTTGGGGTTTTTTTTTTTTTTTGGCCTTACTGTCTTTGGTATCTTTTTGTTTCCTTGTTTCATTTTTCTTCAAGACTCTTATTAACCATGTTAAATCTTCTTTGCCTATTGCCAATATTAGACACTCTCTCTTAAATACTTTTGTGTCTTCACTTATTTTTTGAATTTTAAAGCTTTGCATTTTAAGCTCATTTTGAACTAGTATGTTTCAGTTTTGACTTCCTTTGCTGAGTTGTGTTTCTGGCATGCTTTCATTGTAGGGATGTTTTTCTAATAATTTTATATGGGATTGAACCTTGGCAGTTTTCTGTTCCTCATGATGTAAAATTGGTTTCCCTGAACCTTTAGAACGAACTGTAGTTTAACAAAATTTGACTAACTTGACAAAACTCTCTGGTTGTCCCCGCGAAGTGTTTTAAAACCATGGCAGCTTGCTTTCTGAGATTTCCTGTAGCTTTTCCCTTTTCCCACTTTTATCTGGATTTTCTCTTTCCCCCATGTCTGCTGCCACCGTCCTGCTCAATTGTGACTCCCGCCAGCAATTTCTCCTCAGATGGGTGCCCTGTCTTGGAAGAGAGCTGTGCTCGGGTTGGCCCGCAGTCACTTCTAGTGCATTCCTGTTAGCTGTTCTGGGCATCTCCTGTTCTCAGGTCTGTCAGATGCCTCCTTTCCAACTTCTCCCTCTTGTGTAGATGCTGATACCATGTGGGTCTCATGGCCATTGGTGGTTTACCTCCACCACCTGCTTGGATTTGGGGATTTGGGGATAACTTACATGGTTTTGAGGTAAATGCTACCTATGTGTATTGGTTTTGCTACCTAGTTGTTCTTTTTTATGTGAGGATTAAGAGACTTTAAAAACTATGTTGCTGCTGTCTTCTTCCCAGAACCAATGAGGCATGTCTATTTTTAAAGTATATTTTTCACCCATCCCCAAAGTTGGTCCCTAAATGTGACACATTGTTGTCTACATGGCCATCCTGTCCTTGCTGCTGAGGTAGGCACTGCCACACCACCTCTCCTTACCCAGGGCTTTTCTCAGAGAAACTCTTCTCTGCTCCCATTTCTACTCCATCAGGACTTGCTCCCCTCAAAGACAGCTGAAAACGGCTATCTAAGTGATGCAGAGATGCCAGGGAAGTGGGGCGACGGTAATAGAGCCCTTAATCTTGTGGTTCATATGCATCTGGCTAATCAGACATTGCTTCATGGCAACAGAAAGAAGTACAAGTGGAGTTAGGCAGTCGTTTTTTAAATTTTCCTGTGAGCTATACTTTTATTGCCGCTAATGGGAGATGGCTAAGATACCAGTTCGAGATGGGTCATGGGGCTTAATGGAAAGAGAGTCCTTCCGATGGCTACCCCAGGACCTGACTCCACCATGCGAGCAGGGTGCTTTCACCAATCTTGCTTAATGTGATTTGATGACTGCCAATACACAAGGCAGTTGTAAGTTTCCCATTCTCTCCCCTTCTGGAGAGTTTCAATTTTCCTTTGCCTCCAGTGTATATTGGGAGCAGACAGGCAGTCTTGTCGTTTGTAGGTTACTAGATCACAAGCAGCCTCATCTGGACCTGATAAACAGAGCTGCACAAAACCCAGAGATCCTGGACTTTGAGTGGGATGCAATAATTATGGGTGAGGGAGTGGGTTGTACTTATAGCAAGAGGAGAGTGCATGGATAACTGGGTAGCCAGGGCGGCAGACTGTGACAGGTAACAAAAATCAGATTCCTCAATATCCATCTGAACTCTCCTTCTAGAGTGCAGAGGCTGAAAAGCAAAAAATAACATCCAGGCTCCCTTGCATTTCAGATTCAAAATGTAATTTAGGTTCTACCCACCACTTGTCTATAAAAAGGCTTTGATTTGGAACTGAGTCATATGGGAAGAAGCAAGGTGTAGGGTATCTGTTCGGCAGACTGTGGCAAAGGCAACAAGCTCTTGAGTCAGCCACCGCAGCGGCAGCTTCCTGATTACAGCTGAGGGGCTGGTTTTGCAGCCAGCAGCTGCTGGGTGGGATACCGTCCTGATCATGGCAGACATAGCAGCCACTCTGATGATTTGTGGTTTGGGGAGTCATTCCTGGAAGCTTGGTCTGCAGTCTGTCTCTTTAGCCCTTCAGTGATTCTGAAAGCCACTGAAAATCCTATAATAAATAACTTTCTGTTTAATCTACCTAGAGTGGATTGTATTTCCTGCAACCGAACTGACCCACATAGCCAGCCAATGAGCAGAGCAGCTCCAGCTCTCTTGCTTGACCCGGGAGCAAGCACTCAGGCACCCAGGGGACCCCATTCCTGGACAGCTCGAACAGGAAGGGAATATTTGCATCAGCTGGAGACATATGTGTCCTCTGCCCAACAAGGCGAAGGGATAGTCTACCACAAACTCGCATATGAGTAACAACAGTGGCACTTTTAATGTTCGTGCCGTAGCCGTTACTATTTTTATTGGTCCTGGTATGAAAGAATGATCCCTTCCTCCATTCTCTCTGAGAACTGCGGAATAAAAAGGTCACTGGTGTTTTTAAAAGGACTTTTGGTTTTAAACAAGTGAAATAGGATAATTTTGGGACCTGAAACAGCTAAAGTGCTCCCAATTTAGGATGCAATTTATACATTGTATGATTTCCCTCCCATTTTGTGGGATGTATTATCTGTCTTAGTATAAAAAGAAATGCAGTTTTTCCTGTTTCAGCTGTGTCTATTATCACAAACACTGGGGGAGCAGCCAACAGTATCTGGCTGCACTGTTTTGTAGGCTATAACTTGAACATTTCGGCTGTTTAATGAGAGCACACTTGGCTTTGAGCCACAGCCAACAGGGACTGGTTACCCTGCAGAGCACCGGGCCTGTTCTGCCAAGAAAGGACAGGTTGCACACCAAGCACGTAACAGCTGTTCTCAAAGGGCAACGAATACAATGGCACCTCCTCCCAGAGTCATCCCTTCCCCCTGCCTGTACACAGGCCCAGAGTCTCCCTCGAGGCAGCTGGTCATCTGTCAGACATTTCCGCAGTGACCTTTGGGAGCAATCTGTCCCTTCTGTCCTCAGATTTCCTGGAACAGCAGCATCAGTGGCCTGTCACTCCTGAAAACTCAGGCTAGTGGGCTGCAGTAATGGTCCTATGCCTCATCTCCCACACAGAGGTGATGACACCTCCTTATATTCCTCATGCCCATTGAATATTTTCACTTTTTCCAGATGATATACAGAGCACTATCACTGTCACATCACATCGTGACATCTCCTGTATCCATCTGTTTCCTAACAGAATTTTTACTGTAGAACTTCAGATTTATAGAATTATTGTACAGAGAGTTCCCACATACCCCATACATACCCCAATTTCCTCTATTAGTGATGTCTTGCATTAGGCTGGTACATTTCTTACAATTAATGAACTGATATTGATACATTATTAACTAAACGCCATACTTAGTTTTTAACCTACTGTCCTCTTTCTGTTCCAGGATCCCATCCAGAATACATTACAGTTAGTCATCATGTCCTCTTAGGTTCCTCTTGGCAGGGACAGCAGACTGTCCTTCTCTGATGACCCTGATACTTTTGAAGAGTACTTAACCTGCATCTTTTCAGAGTTATCCTTCACTTTAATAATAATAAGAATCAGAGAAAACTGGCTTTCGGAAGGAGCTCAGTAAGATCAATAAGCCTTCAAAAAAGAAAAATAACGACCTGTCCTGAGTTTTCAGAAGGCTCATGTGGTTTCGTCTCTGTTAACCTTGGTCTGTGATGGAGTGCCGGGTGTGCTGCCAGGTAGGTACTTGGACAGCTGCCCAGGGAACTCCTGTGGACGATTTGGTGGAGTAGGGGTTCCACAGCCTGGATGCTCATTACATTCAATGGAGAATTTTATAAAGCACAGATGCCCTGGCCTTAGCTCAGGTGTACTGAATCACAATCTCTAGCAATAGGGTCTGGAATTCTGTATTTTGTATCCCTTAAAAAAAAATCCTGAATATAGAAAATTATAAAACATGGCCCATAATCTGTCAGTATTAATCATATAAATATATAAATGTAGAAAATGTAAAGAGGAACCAAAAGTCTAACATGAAAACTGAATGCTTCCCTATAATCTATTTAACCATTTTCTAAGGACAGTTTGGTTGCTCCCTGCTTTAAGTGTTGTCTTTCGTTTGCTTAGGATTCATATTTCAATAAGCTTCCTGAGATATTCTGGTATATCCAGAAATTTGGAACCCACTACCGCAGAAGAAATTCTCAATTCAGCTGGGAGGGAGCAGAACGTTCCTTCAGTGCAGACATCCATCATGAAGTCACAATGCTTGCTCTCTCTCTTCCTCCCCTGAACAAGTCAGCCTTAAAGCCATTAGCTGGGGCAGAACAAGGAGAGGCAGCCTGTGGGGTGTCAGAGCCCAAGTGGGGTGAGAAGGCCATCTTACAGAGGACAGATCCGGGGAGGGGAGTAGTTCAGGCCTGAGTGCGTGAGGAGGGCGTCTGCATGGGTGGGCAGCCCGAGGTGGTATGTAGAAGCCTGAATAGGGACGAGCAGGTGGAGGGGTGGCCTGGGGCCCAAGGGGATAAGGAGGGCTTTCAAGAGGGTGATGTCTCCAAAAAGGGTGTAAGCACCTGAATGGAGGGGGTCCATGTGGGGGGAGATATGTATGTATGTATGCAGGAATTAATCAAATAAATAAATACAACAAAGGTAACGGGAGACATGTTTCTCGCTGGAGAAGGAAGTCACTAATAGAGAAAGGGAGGAAGCTAGAATAAACCCTGAGTACCCTACAATTAGATCAGTATGAACTTGTGGATGTAAAGATATGTATCTATATTTTATTTATTTACATTATACCTATAAATGTATATATTTATGTAATATAGAAAATTTGCAGTATCTATTTGTATATATCACATATATGTATATTTACATATGTCTATATATTTACATATATGAATGTGTGTAAGTGTATATGTCCTTTGAGTGGGCCTGGAAGCAGTGATGCCTTAATGGCCATAGGCACACCCAGTGCCCACACTTTGGCTTTAATACCATTTTCCACTTAAAAGAATCAGAGGTCCTTGTAGAAATGACTGATTTCAGGGCTGGGGAAGGCAAAGAACATGATGAGCTTAGAACATCTTGTGCCAGAAATCAAGGAAGTACTCAAAGAATGATGAGGACATGTCCAGAGAACACAGGAGCCAGGTTGAAAGGACTCGGGTGAAATTTGGAACAATATGAGCATCAAAATAAATAACGACAATGACAGACTATATCCCATCAAATAAAATAGAAAGCCAAAATCTCATACTGAGAAAAATAAATAAATGAAAAAATTGAAAGTTTTGATGAAGAAAGGAATTTATACAGAGTTTTAAAGTATCTCTGACAAAATATTCATTAGTTAAAAGAGACGGGGAAAAAAGAGCAACTTTACAGTGGAAAAGCCCAGAAGATTCCACTTTAATCAAGGGGCTGAAATAAAGATGATCAGAAATGGGGTGAACTGAAATGCCACCTGGCAGGATGCAATGAAAAGAATCCACCATACTCCTGTGATAGTCCTGCCTGCATTCATTAGGCTGACATACATGTACTATGTCACAGCTTCTGGGAGTCAGGAATCTGGGAGTAGCTTAATTGGGTGATTCCAGTTTAAGGTCTTTATAAGGTCGAAGTCCAGCTGTTGGCCAGGGTGATAGTCAGCCTGAGGTTTAACTAGGGCTGGAGGTTCCACTTCCACACTCACTCATGTGATTGGCGGGCCTTGGTTTCTCACTGGCTGTGAACTAGGCGCTTCAGATCCTTGCCATCTGGGCCTATCCATTGGGCCATTCACACTGTGAAGCTTGCTTTCCCCAGAACAAGTGATCCAAGAGATCATTTGTATAACCTAACCATTTCTTTCTTTAAATTAATTAATTTTTAAACTGAAGTATACCTGATTTACAATGTTGTGTTAGTTTCAAGTGTACAGCAAAATGATTCAGTCACATACATATTCTTTTTCATATTCTTTTCCATTATAGGTTATTACAAGATATTGAATATAGTTCTGTGTGCTATACAGTAGGATCCTGTTGTTTATGTATTTTTATATATAATAGTTTGTATCTGCAAATCCCCAACTCCCAATTTATCCCTCCCCACGCCTTTTCCCTCCTGGTAACCATAAGTTTGCTTTCCACGTCTGCTGAATCTCTTTCTGTTCCATAAAGAAGTTCATTTGTATCATTTTTTTTTTAGTTTTCACATATAAGTGATATATGATATTTGCTTTTGTCTAACTTCACTTAATATGATAATCTCTAGGTCCATTCATGCAATGGCATTATTTCATTCTTTTTTTATGGCTGAATAGTACTCAATTGTGTATATGTGTCTGTGTGTGTGTGTATATATACATCATCTTTATCCATTCATCTGTTAATGGACACTTAGGTTGCTTCCATGTTTTGGCTATTGTAAACAGTGCTTTTATAAAACACTGGGGTGCATGTATCTTTTCAAATCAGAGTTCTTGGGATACATGCCCAGGAGTGGGATTGCTAGGTCATATGGCACCTCTACTTCTAGTTAAGGAAACTCCATACTGTTTTCCATAGTGGCTGCAGCAATTTGTATCCTACCAACAGTATAAAGGGATTTCTTTTTTCT